TAATCCTGATTTTTTTGAGTGAAATCTAAGTCTTTTAGTTTCAAATTATGTGTTACGGTTTTTCCAATAAGTGTTGCGTTATGACGTTTTGTGAAAAATATGTAAGTGATAGAGTAAAATGGATATTTTCAGATTCAGCCTACAGGAATTACTGTAGAAAATGTAAAAATTTCAAGACAATAAAACCATCACAGACCTGTGTTATTATTGTTTTCAATTATTCTAACTATCCAAGTTTTCGAAATCTATCCATTATACTTTCTTATTATTATTATTTTCATGAGGCATGAAAATAATAAACTAATTGAAATAAGTTTATACATGCTGACTTAACATGATGTGAGAGCTGGTACTACTTTCCTTGGCATGTTCACCACTGTGCATGTATTCCAGTTATACACAACTTACACATATGAGGGTGTGGCCTAGTGGTTTTTGTTAATGTTTACCTTGTATGGACAAACAATAGTGTAACTTTAATGTAATATACTGCTTACATATTACATGCTACAAATGTACCAGTGTTACATTAGTTAGAGTGTGCACATAATGAAAGGGGAGGATTTGGGGGTTCAAGCCTTCCCCTTAGCTATACAATTTTAAAAGTGATACTTAGTTAGCTGAATACCTAAGACGAATCTGAACAACTTTTAAAACAATGTAAAGTAAGTTTATGTTTTTGTTATTCACTCAATAACCATTATAATATACATAAACAATATTCATAGCTTTGTTTCAGTCTTTCAACTGCAAGTGCTCTTTGTACGGAGCACAAATACAACCTATGCGTGCAATGAGTAATACTGACATAAGTAATAACTTCTTAACTTGTATATTGCTATAGCTACACCTCAATTTTATTATGTTCAACATTTTTTGTGTAATATATGTTAAGTATTTGTATATCTAATGTATATTCTATATAGCAAAGTGAATAAACTGATATAAATTTATAAATAACTAAAACATAAAAAAGGAACTCATATTGTATTACATAATAACTTTTTAAACTGTAAGTATTTTAATCTACAATATAAATATTATATTATTCTAATCAACTACATTCAGATTTTTTTGTGAATTGAAAGGAGCCTCCCACCTTAAAAAAATTCTAGTTATACACGTTTTAGGATAAAATGTTTTAACAAAAAAGTTAGAAGATAATATTCATTATTCTCTTGAAGAAAGCATTGATTGTTGAATAGCTTGATTGTTTAACTAATAGAAGTCCATCACTACGTAACACTTAAATTATAGTTACATGAACAGAACCCTCGTTTCATTACGACTAGCTCCAGCTAGATAGGAAGCACTGCAAAGGAAAAACAAAAATCTGGTTGGCATCACGTACCATTTAAATGTGGTCTAGTACAGTAAGTTGTTTTATTGATTTCTCAGCAAGTGCACACATTTCTAGTTTCTTCCAGTTTATACTATAAAATTTAAAAATATTAATCTTTAAAATGTGTTCATTTTAAATTTGTGTTGTTGTATCAACAACGTCTTCCTTGAAGAATGATTCTAATGTTTTGTATAAAATTGTTAATTATTTTTTAAGTTTTTCAAGTTAATGATAGGAATCGAAAAAAAAAATTCAAAAATACTGGTAGTTAATCATTTAATTTTCTGCTGACATGGTTTTTAATATATTTAGTATAAAACTTTGATTTACACCTTACTAATTATATTAATCTCCACAAAGAAGTCATCTCGTATCATCAAAAGTTTTCTTGCCAAATGATATATTTTGTACTCCCCTTTATATTTCTAAGATTATAGTAAACTTTTCACTGAATAATATATATTATCTATCACACAGTGACAAATATGTTTACTAGTCTGTTCACATGAAATCTATAGACAATCATTTTCAAACATGAATTACTTTATTTCACAATATTGTACTAAAAAGCCAGATACCCAAGTTTTCTTTAACAATGCTACAATTTTTTGTTTCGACACCAATGGTTTTTAGTGAAGAATTAATTTACTTTGTTTGTTTGTTGTTAGGCACAAATCTACACAATGGGTTATCGGTGCTGTTCCCATTATGGGTATAAAAACCTGGCTTTTAGAGATATAACCCTTCAGAATTACTGCTGAGCCATTGGGGCAGTTTATTTGGTAACAAACATTCAAGTTTTCCGTAACGATTCTACTCTTTTTTTTTTTCTCAACCGTACTGATACTGACTGAGCATGCAGCACCCCTTATTAGAGTGGTGAAATTTTTGAAGGTCACGTACAAGAGTAACATCCAATAAAGTCCGAGAATGTTATGTTCAGCGTTTTTCTGATTTGTAATCAGTTACCAAGTAATGTTTATTTTCCTCAACAAAAATTCAATAGTTAGAGCAGCCTTGTGAAAATTTGTAGAGAGAAAACCAAGGAACAATACTAAACGTATTTTCATATTTTTACAGGTTTTGTGTTACATAGTGTATAAAGTTCACGTACAGCAGTTTAAGATTGAAAATGAATCTTAATCTTTTACCTGATAATGTCTGTCATATTAAAAGAAAGATTTAAAAAAAAAATCTTTAAAACCGAAACGAAAGATTTGACACACAAGAGAATAATCAATCAACGAGTCCAACAATTAGTTGAATATCAAATTTCAATATTTACCAGGCTCTATTGGATATACCATTTCTATACGTTAATGTGTCGATAAAACGAAAATCAGTTTTAAGTCTAATTTACAAAAAGAGCCAAAAGACATTGTTGCTCCGAATTAATAACTTTCTAACTGTTAAGGCAGAAAGTCCCCCTTGAAACAAGTCTTTTTTTTCATCACTTTTTTACAAAAGTTCTAATTGCAAAGATAAATTTATTTCCTCTAATGGATATAGACTGAAATTTGATTTAACTTTTTCACCACTGAACTAGAAAGTATTCTGATTTTTTAAAACAATGTAAAATTTTGTTTATTTCAAACTATCTTGTCCACTAGGTGTAGTAAGCTATGTCGGTCCAACCAATCTGAAACTGCAGGGATGTTTCGTCATTTGACGGTGAAAACCAAACATATTCCCAACAATCTTTAACTGTTGAAATAACCATACAAGAAGTGTGTGAACACATCTAAAAGTTATAAAAGATGCATATACAGGTATATCAACAAATTTTTAATTGGTATAATTAGGGTTGGTAATATGGTAAGGAATGCTCCATCAAAATTTTCTTAGAAGTACTCTTGAGCAAAGTCATAAAATTCTTGACCGATAACATAAATGCACACTAGTTCTTAATAGTATTAGAGTATTTTGATTTAACCTAACTAAAGATGTGATACTTTAATTTACTAGTTGTAAAAAGCATGACAATACAAAAGCATTTTTAAGATGTTTTTTTCATTGTAGTGTTCCCAGGCCTTTGCTCATTCTAAAAATCAATCCAGGAAGTAAAATTTCATTGGTACCTAGAAGAGGCTTTACCATATCAAACTGATTATATAAATGTTAAAACTGGACAACAATTTATGGCACAGTGTTTTATTTTTAATGAACGGGAACTAAAACTGGCATATAAAAAAAAACACAAATTCATTCATCAAGCCTTACAGAAAATACAGTAAATGTTCTAACTTCATTAAGTAACTTCTGTTATACAAATACTTTTAGACAAAAACTAGGTCAACAGTTAAAGTTTCAACAAAACTTGTATAGCTGCCAAAAAAATGTAGCTTTCTTTCCTTAACTCTCTTTCAACTGATAGTGCAAAAAAAAAGGAAAGATGACAAATTGGCTATGATCCAAACAAAACTGCTGGATCTCCACTGCGCACAGTATTCTCACTAAAATCAGAAACATTACACCAAAGTGCACGTTTCATCCGTACCATCATATATGTTGTCAAACTTAAAAAACTGAAGTAATCCAATACTGAACAAATATGAAAATTAATTTGTAAAAAGATCAATCATTTGAGCACAGGTCACTTTAAATACTATATACAGTTACTTACTTTTTTTTATCACTAGATCAGTTTTAAAGTCATTGAAGCACTTACCACTTGATATGCTGAACAAACATTTTAAAGGAATTTATTAGATTATTATCAAATAACACTGACTGAAAGAAGTACAAAACTATCTTTGTCACAATAGATCAGGAAGTAACCACTGGTCCGTAACCCCTGAAATCAATAAAAATGAAACGTAATATCTGCTGCTAATCGAGTTGCTTAAGCCAATTAATTTTTGTAGGACAAGTGCTATACATTTTAGCAGGGTAGGATTCATCTTTAGCTAAGGCAGTTTTATTTTTATAACACTAACACCGAATTTGTTGCCTTCAGAAGTGGTGGATGCAGTACAAGTTGTAACAATTTAAGGGAAGGCTTGATAAGTATATGAAAGATAAGTGCTGGCTTTGCACTTTTTTTTAAAGTTTAGTTTAGTAAATGAGAAAGCCTGGACCATAGATGGCCAACTGGAAGCACACAGGATGTATCCAACTGGCAAAGATATTTTATCCAGCCTGATCTTTTTTCTTAATCATATTTTCTTCTGGCCAAACTGGTAAAACCAAAACAGAAAACGAAACCATGACCAACTAGTCATGTGATGGTTTTGAGAACTTCTTCAAATGTTAACTCAGCTATGTATTCAAAATTAAAAATATGTCAGTAAACAGAAAAAGTTTACTCATTTCCAAACAGAACACTATACCCCTGAAAGTTTCTAACATTTTGTAGTTAGTTTTTTGGTTTTTCTTTTCTCTCTATGTAATTTTTTTCTAAGTCAACCTCATCAATTTTCACTTACAAAGCCTCTCACAATGAGTATAATCCCCATACTACATAACGATAAGTACAAAGACCAAATCATAGAAGTATATCACAGATTTACAATTATTTATTTAAATTTGTTAGGAAAAACCAGTAAGATAGTAAGATACATGCCTCTTGAAGACATCAGTTAGCTTCCACCATCCACCAGTAAGTTTCTTTTTTTTTGGTTGTATTATTCTGAGTTTAGATGTTTGATTTTTCACAGACTAGTATATTGAAAGTATCTTAACATCTTTCTGGGCATATATATAATATAAATGAACCCATTACTCAATCCTCCACTTTCAAACAAGACAGATTTAAAATGAACATTGTTTACTGCACATCAATAAACAATACTTAAAAAGACCAGTTTTCAGCCTGATGAAACATAAAAGTTGGCCCTTAACAAGTCTTCATGCAATACTATCAACAAATAGAAAACATGCTTTAACATTTTTTCACGTTAAAACACAACTAATAAGTTTACTGGATCGGCTTCAGTACAGTTACAGCTTCTACTCCATATCTAAACAGCTTAGAATTCTTCCCAAGTTTGAGAAGAAATTTTTCATTTTCATATTTTCTTTTGGTATTTACTGAACCAGCAAAAGTTGAAATTAAGTGTCATTTCCAGTAATGCCTAAATGTGATATGTTTAGCAGAGATAATTAAGTAGGCAGACTTACATCGGAGCTCCTGAAAGTGTTTCCTTGTTGACTTTAAAATCATACTGTCAACAAAACTTACAACTCAAGATTTATAAATTTCTTCTTCTTCACATTTATTTGCATACAATAAGTTACTCATCCATAATACTCCACTTATTACATGTGCATCATTGGATCTTACATAAGCTCTGCTTCCTTGCCATAAGTCAGATTTGTTTTTGCATACGATCATGTTCCTCCCATCGTATTCTGATATTACTGAAGAGTATAATGTTTGTGTGGATCCTTAAGTTGCTTATAACTCGTAAGCTTTCTTTAGTTTGGAGGAAATCATTTTTGCTCGGGCCTCTTCACCTATAGTGTCTGCAGAGCCAGTTCTGTCTGCTACAGTGCTAACCCTAATCTCGATAATACTTCTTGCTGGTCTCACTGTTGTTTGTTCTCAGGTATGTTTTATATTTTTAATATTGAACCTATCTTAATTTCATGCGAGGATGCTTGTGTCATGCAAGATAATTTTTGTTTACATTCTTATTTCTTTCACCCTTCTCACAATTTTGGGACTAGGGATAAATTTCAAAGCTAATTCTATATTCATACATCTCATGTTTCCTTTTCTCAAAGTACTGTGACCAACTGTCAGTTTTTTGCCCTACACACTTGCTTTGATATATTATTTTTTCTCCTGTCTTGTCCTTACTTGTCTTTCAGTCAAAATAAATAAATATACATATATATATATATATATATATATACATCATTTTGTAATAATTATTAAAATGGTGGAGGTTTGGAGTCATACAAATGTAGAAATTTAGGGTGGTCTACTACAAGGCTATTTTAACAACTACCTTTTATGTCTGCAGAAAATGAAAAGCAGTTGGAGTTGGGAGGTTGTGGGTCTAAGCACTCAACTCCTAAGCCCTAATTTTAATTTTAATAGCAGTTACCAATATCGACATCTGTGTTTCTTTCATGTCTGATAGATAGAACAACCATAACACTTTTGGTAGCTCTGCTCAGACATTTTTCATTATTAGTTAATGGTTACGGACAAGTTTCTTCAGTTTTTTTAAGTCTTAAATAGAAAATTTCGACTTTGATTTGTTCATCGTTATATTATAGTTCTGAATGGACGGCCTATATACAATTGATGTAACTTATAGTATGAGAACTCGACTTACTTATACATACATACACTCGTGTGTAACTTTCAAAAAGCTGCTTCATTTTTCTCTTTGAAGGACTTTTACTTTCATTTTTGAACTTATATGGGTGATAACAGTCGGTGCTGATTAGGAACACTTGGTTTTGCTTTTGGTCATTTTTGCATTCTAGAGTCATGTGTATAACGTTTTTTTTTTTTGTTTCAATGCTTGTTATGTTTACTCGTACTTCTAGTGTAGCACAATTTCAAAATCCTCTATCTTTTAAGAAATGTCTATATTTCTCCCTGACATTGTTACTGGATGCAATTTTAACCAACTGGAGTAAATTCTAAACAACTGTCTGTTTTGTTTTAGCAGTTAAAGCCAATATTTCACCGTGAGATCTCGACGCATTTAGATTAACGATTCTGCTCCAAGTAATAATTAATTTTTTCAAATCAATTTATAGGTTACTTAGAAAGCCAGGTAAATTAAAGTAGTTTTGGAAACTTATATTTTAATGTCCAATATATTTTGTGTGTTCTAAAAGGCATATCTGAAAGCTACATGAATTATTTTTGGGTAACCAACAACCAATTCACCTTAAACAGAATACATGAATATTTACCTTTAAAACAAAGTCCGTTGGGGTTCCAGGCTTCACCATATTCCTTATAACTCCATCGTGTTGTGAATGTATTAACGTTTCATCCAAATCTAAAACCATTATCTTTCTCTTTACTAAATCTTCTCAGACGGAAACAAATGCAAAAAAAAAGTCAATTACTGTATAGTATAAATTGAACATTACAAGAAAAAAGTAAAATTTTTTATACCAAAGATACATTTTATGATTGAGATCTCAATAACTTTTAGCAATAACAACATAATGTTAAAGTGTACTTTCTAAAAAACTTAGTGCATGTGGTAACAGCACTTTTAAAAGTTCACAACTGGTCAATGTTCCTAAATTGTTTAAATACAGAGAAACATAATATACCTCTTATCTAACAAATAGAGAGAAAAGCCATGAATATAGAAAAAATCTGCTTATATCATTTAAAAACTGAACTAATATTATCTTTCAAAACATACTTCAAGCCTGTTGTTCAGAATTTGTGTTCTATATCATTTTTGATCAACAATTAAGTACAACATGTTTAATTATTCTACACAAAGAACCAAATTTCATCAATACTTGATAATTATAGTTTCTCATAAAAATGTATATATACAATTCAACATTTTTGTACTGATTTTAAAATGAATAATTATTTTCCTTACAAAAATAACTCAGTTAATGTACACCGTAATGTGTTCAATTCTTAACAAGGAAAAAAACTCTTGTGAAAATGAGACAATTTCAACATTGAACTTAATATAAACAAACATCATTAAAAATTTAGTATATCTAAATATGCATTTTAAAATTCAGACTTACTCAATCTATGTCTAGATAACGGTGAAAGGGGTAAGATATCATATTTCACTGACTGATGTTGAATTATCTGCAAAAAAACAAAAAAAAGAGGCTAAATATCTAAATCAGTATGTTACTCAATGTGCAGATGGATGTTTGCTCCTTTCATCAACAAAGCTGGCAGGGAATTGAGATCTACAAGAACCTTATTATCATTGTGGAATAAACTAAAAACTAAATGTACCAGCAATTAATAGATGGAAAACCAAATTTGTGGTTGGAAAGGTTGACTTCTGTGTTACAACTTGCATTGAATCAATATTAAATTTAAAAAGTGTTAATTAAAGTATCAACATAGTGCTTCTCTGACAGCATGGAAATTTAATCCAAGTACAAAAGAGTGGCCATGCAAGTCCACAAATGTAATGTACTCTACTACAGAACAAAAACACACAGATAAAACAGTTATCACTTGCAACCTTCCCAAATGCCTACCTGACTTAATCCTATACTGCACATTGTAACATACTGGAAACATATACTTTTAGGCTTAATACACATACAAATGCTTCAATTCTGTAGTTCAATGCTCTTACTTCCAGGGAATATCTAGTTAAGCCACGGAATTATTTCTGTTGGTTCCTCAATTGAACAACGTTACTTCTAAGTAACATATCCCTTTATAACTTACCAAAATATATTTCACAAAATCATTTTTTGTACAACATGGATCAATTTAAATACAACATTTTTTTTCCACTGTATTTCCACAATGTGTGCAATAGAGGATCAGGATATTATATAAAACATTCATAGTTTCATCAATAGTTACTTACAATAATTTAACATTTTTAGTTACACATCACCTCCAGTATGACAGCATCAACAGTTTTAATGGCAACTAACTCCAGAATTATACAATGCAATTCTCCCATGAGATTTAATAGATGCTGTACACCCTTCTCACATATCATTTTTACAGCTTGTTACTCAATACAAATTCCACTTCTATAACATATGTATAAACCTCAAGAAAAGACGCAACAAGTCTATCCCTAATTTTACAGGCATAAAACCTGTAACTGACTCAGTTTAAATCTTATAAACTTTACTGAATACTACCTGGCCTATAATTATTACTAATAAATCAATTTTACATATTTTAACTTGAGAACAAAGCAGTAGCAGACATACATCTCCACATTAACAAATTATATACACACACACACACACACACACACACACACCTGCTTATATAAAACAACCTACTTTGCAGGGTATTGTTGCTATATTGTAATAAAACCTGTAGGAGCTGGAAGATAATGAAATTTTATGGTTCTTCAGCTGATGATAAACAATGAAAATCAAGAGTTTTATCTTAGCAGAGAAATATAATAAGACCAAACAGAAATATTATTAATAATTACTATTAACCTGAAAAAATTTTGAATAACAAATTCAACAACAAACACATTAGACAAATCTAAAACATGTCTCCTAAGACAGGTACATTTCTCTGGGTGTATATGTCCTAGTACATAGTGTATATTGTACAACTGCACAAGCCTTGTAGAACTCTCAGAAGCTGTTTACATATAGTCCATAGACAGTATACAAACATACTCTTCTCTTTAACACTATATTAGCACCTTCACTTTTTCTTTAAATACCCACAGCTGGCATTTAGCCAAGCTTTCCCACTAACATAAAGTTGTATTTCTTCCAAATAACCTCTTTAATGTTACAGTTAAAAAAAGCATCCAACAGTCAGTTAATTCATATTATTTGTAGTGTAAACATAACCTTTAAATATATATACATTTAAAATATTCATCAACAACAGATTCATAGAAACATTTACTGACATAAACCATAATTTACTTTCCTTCATATAACTAATTTTCTAGATGCCTGAAAATTAAGAACAAAAACAAAAAATATCAGAATTAATTTTTGTGAACATAATGATACTGTTTATACAACTATTCAGAACTATGAAACAGAAATAATATTTCCAAAATTTATTAACTATTTCTGGTTCAAATCATAAAATAGAATTTAAATTAATTTTCTTATTTGTTTAGAGATTACAACCACCTTCAACCAACTATAACTAAATAAAACTTTCATATCCAAATTAATAATAATAAATTATGGGACATCAAATGTCCTTTTGGGCCCATCAAGGATGTCCTGGCTCCCAAAATCTTTGAAGAAATGGAAAAACTATACACTAAATCATTCTGTAACCCTTAAGTCTAATAAAGTTGCAGCCCTTACCATTCTAAACACCAAATTGTTCCACCACCCTACGAGAGAAATAAATCTGCCTCTGTAGTATTCTCAAGTGCAATGATTTTCCTCACAGGTAAGAATAGTAACCACTGATAACAGGAGGAATGGCATAAAATGTTTTGTGAAATTAAGTCTGAATTTCTGACTTGAAAAACAAATTCCTATTCACGTGCCTCTTTAGGGAAAAGTGAGTGAGAAAGTACAGGGTGATAATGAAGAAAACCTACATCAATCATCACTGTTTTGATGGAAGAATATCTTGCTCTGTGAAGTTACTAAAAGACCAAATTAAGTAGCAAACAACAACAATCCACATGGTAAGCCATTTTCTTCATAAAAAAAAAAACATTTCTGGTGTCAGCTTTTATTAGAAAAATAAAATTAGGGATAAAACTGGTGCTCAGAAGCTAGACTTTCCTCCTAATATGTCAGTATAGTCTGAGGAAAAGAACCCTTCAAATTCCACTTATCATAAAACTAACTATAGAAGAAACATATTACATGAGAACCACTAATGATGGTGTTTGGTGATGATGAGGTAGGAAAATGGAAGAAACCTATCTTAAATACTCTAGGGAAATTGAAACCACTCACATTTATCCATGTTTAGTGGGTGGTATAGTTATACAGAAAATATATGAAATTAGTATTCTTAATACTGTGCATTATGGATCATGCTTTCTTCAACTTGCATATGCCTGAAAGTCATTTCCATATAGTTTCTGCCCACTTTTCAAAATAACCTGATGAAAGATGTGAACCAGAAACCAATTATTTTCTGTGTTATTCAATGAGAAAAAGTAACTAAAGCATGGATAGCAGAAGACAACAACTTCCTTAAGCTAGAACCAAAATACAGTGGATTTCTGAAGTTCAGGGAAAAAGTGTGTCAACTTGGCCGAGAGGTGACTCGTGTCAGAGGTCTTGTAGAATGTCTAATAGTATCAATGTTTGAGCATAACACTTCTGAGACTACTCCTAACAAACTCTTTAAACTAGCAATCACTGTTACCAGACATCTGCTGTGACATTCCAAGCAGGGTGCATAATTTTGTGATGGCATTCGGGATGAGTCATCGGTACTGGTTATATCGTCACCTAAGGTCAACAAAACAAAGTCTTTCTATCACAAAGTTCAAAATATGTTTTATTAACTGTAATGGAGAAACCAAAGATACAGATGAGAAGAAATAAAATGAATTCAGGGTTGTATAATGAGTACGATTTATTAAAAAGATATAAAAAAAGCAGATTTAATTTTTTTTCTTTTTACTGCCATTCACCTGTATTTTCAGACCTGATTCTATCAAAAATATAAAACCAAAAAAATCCTACAAGCTGCAAGGACTGTGGTGTAACTTTTATTTGTTAATCTTGTTCTCAAATACTCCAATGCTATTTCAAATGTGCACAGCTATTCAACGTGAAGTCCTACATAGGGCCTAGACAAGTACATTAATGAAAACTGTGCAATAGAAGAAATACATCACCAATATAGCAGAGTAGTAATTTATCTCATTAGCCTAGAATACCATAAGTACTGCTGGGTGATTAATTCAATTATCTATTAGAATCATTTATACATTAATTATTGTCACACAAAATAATTGATTAATCAATATTATGATTAAATCAATTAATGTCCCAAAAATAATCAGCTAATTGAAAATTATTCTTTCCAATTATTACTGTTTTCCATTATTCCAACAGTCTAAGTAATAAAATTATTGCCATTAGAAAGGACAAAACAGTTTGTTGAATTTGATAAGCAGAAACTAACCATATTAAATTTTGTTAGCAATTATTAAATACTGCTTAGCATCTTTTTAACATTTATCATTTTAACACATTATGGCAACTAAATCCAGCACTAAAAGTCTTAACTCTTTGTAAAGACATCCACTGATGAAAAAAGGTAAATGGTATGTTTTTATTATAATAACATTTTTATCCAGCTTCAAACCCTAATATTTAATTGTACCATACATGGCATTTCATGAACAAAATATTTACTGGTATATAAAGTAAAACTTCAAAACTGCAAGAAATACCAAACACCTCAACTGTCACAAAATAATACAAAAATCAATTAACCAGAGAAAAAAAGTGACTTGAAGATATTGCAACTAAACAAGTTGTTTTTCAAATTAATCTAGTTTACTTATTTATTTTTTGGTGAGGCCTCAATCTTTTCACAATGTGGTCCTTAGCTTTTTGAAGGAGAAAATGTCTAGTGGTATTTCAGCAGTAATTACCCCTTTCACCACAGGTATCCTTTACTGCATGTCATGAAGTTTTTAGCTAGTTGCATTCAAAATTTAATTAAACTACTTTTTTGTTCATGTTTTACCAATTAGCATAGCATAAAATTGTAGCTAATAATCCATATTTTAATAGTATATGTTTTAAGTTCTTAATTTTATGAGCCAATATTTAAAAAGAAATCCTAAATTTCCCCTAGTGTGAGAAATGTGACATTTCTTATCTATGCATCCCCTCTTCTCTAATTTATTTACCACCCCTCCAAGAAGTATGAAATTTAATGTAAATTAATCATTATAATATTGTCATTTCATAACCTTCAATTTTGTTTGGTTACATAGCCATCAAATAGGAAATCAGACCCCTCTTGCCACACCCACCTGTCACATCCTCTTTTTCAGGATTTTTCAATAGTTCTCTCTTATGTTTAGTACTATATTACTTATAACCAATAGAAAGCCAATGTTTTCATCTATCAAATAATGTTGTTAACTTATCTTCTACTACAAGCTTCATTCTCATTGGAAACACTGGGGTTATTTTCATTCGCAAATTGCAATGTGAACCCAGATATTTTGTCCCCTGCATTATGATTTCTCTATCATTTTCACTTAATTCAAGTTTATTCAGCTAAATTGATTTGTATCATTCCTTGAAAAAATAATAATTTCACTAAAATTAGTTTCCAATTATTACTACTGATTATTCCAACTACCTAAGTCTCATGTGAGAATAACTGATTAGTTGAATATAACTGATTAATCAGCCTGACAGTTAATCATGGTATAGCTGCATTGTAGCATGCAAATAAGCATGCGACAACAGTCCACCAACAGGAGTGCAACCACATCCTCCTAGCAAAGCTGATTCCCTCAGTGCAGTAGAACCCAATCTTCACTTCAAGATTAGGCAAGAAAAAAAAAAAGTGGAAGTGTCAGAAGAGAAGTATCTACTGGAAATATATTTTCAGTTTAGGAAAATACTAACTTTTGATACGATAACTTTCCTCCACTCACAAATACCCAGAATCACACATTAACCCGGTTGAGGGACTGATGTAGAATAACTTAGATGAGTAATCCCTAGAAAGCATCTGAAGAGAATTCAAGGAGTGTGACATCTCAATGGAGAGAAAACACACGTGGGAGACTGCACCACATCTGAACCAGGTACACTCCTCTCCTGAGATGAACAAACATTTCACAAAATTGATGTAAATGAGAAAATGAAGTAGAGTGACTAGGGCGAGTGTAACTGTAAATGGGAGGTCAACTCCAGTCCAAATCCAGCAGCACCAAAACTGGATCAATTGGCCCATGGTAGGAGGAGAGTCTTCTACCATTCACCTCAGACCCAGGAACCAGAAGGGAAGAGGTACTTCCATTCCAAGAACCCATGACATCATGTGTGCATAACAAACATGACATAAAGGAATGGAAACCACAGAATGAAGCCATGCAAGCCACATAACACCTCAGAGCCCTGGCCAAACATAGGAGATAATCTGAATCAGAATGGAAATTTTTGTGAAATGGAAGTAACAGAAATAGGAGAGAAGGCAACATTACCCTCACCTGCAACAGTGGTTTTTGGTAAGAAGGTATGATCAGGATAAAGGAGAACATAGGTTCCGTTGTAAACGATGAGAGAGACATCGATGGCAAACACATCAGACATTCAATGTCCACAAGCTAACAGCAGGAGGAAAAAAGGATTACAAGGATAGGTGATATATGAAACAGGAAGCCAAAGGTTCAAATGGTGGTAGAGAAAAGGCATGGAAGACAAGATTAAGATCCCAATCTGGCAAGGGAGTAGGTTGAGAAGGACATTGGAGACGAAAAGAACGAAACAAGGGGGAAATAACAGGAAAGGAAAAAACATGATTAAATCAGGAAATAATACTATAATACAGCTCTATAACCGGCAATGATCAAAACAGAAAGACCATTATTGGTAGGAAAGGTAAGGGACAGAAGGAGAAGGGATAAATCCTGACGAATAGCCCAACAGAGAAAAAATACACCATTTACGTCGGTACAGGACATGTATGAAGAGAGGACATAGTGAGAAAGAATGGATGCCACCCAGGTGGATAATCTGGAACCTCGCGCAAGGGACCGGACAAAAGTAACACGAGAAGCCGGAGAGTAGGAATGGGCGGATAAAGCACTGCCAAGAGAAGTTGATGGAAAAAGGAATTGGAGAGAGGCATCAGTAATGATGGTGACAACTGAAGAGAGGGAAGTAGAGGAAACCTAGGTTGAGCTGGCCAGAACAGAGCCATTAGGAGAACTCGACACAGAATGGTTTGGATAATGGAAAGAACCATGGTAAAAAGATGGATAGGGGGAGGGATAGGCATAAACGTAGAGGTCTGTCCAACCCCACTGAGACCATCCATCACATTAGTCAACTGACTGTGTTATGTATCTTCTACATTAATATGAGTTAAAGATGTGGACAAGACTGATACAGATACCATGCTGTCACTGAAAATATCATACAATTCATCAATAGTGTATGTTGTATCCCACTATCACATAAACACAAAACGTGTACCATGTCAAGTGAATAAATCTCATTATGTTTGATGTTTTGCTACACATTGAGAAAAAAAAGTAAATTTTCAGAAAGCAATTGTTGAGGCCATGAGACAAGATTTATTCTTAGTTAATTAGAACAATGAGTTAACAGGTGGTGCAAGACACTTGGGAAATTAAACAAAAAACGTTTTAGTTCAGGATAGGCATGTTTCTAAGAAGATAAAATAACAGGAAAGATCAAAGCTAACATGCATATTAAAGAAAAAGGAAAATAAAGTATAAGTACCATAAATTTTATTAACTTAAATTAACAGATAGATTGAAAGATATACAGAACTGTAAGAAAGCTGAGGATAAAATATGCTTTACAAAATCTTGTAATGAAAACTGGTATGATAAATGAAACCCAACATGAACTCATCATTGGGAAATATGATCTTACTAATCTGTTTTACTTTTTGAGGATGCTACTTGCTATCCAGACAAAAAGAGTGTGAACTTGGTGTATTTAAGTTTTCAAAAAGCTTTTAACTCTATGCACATGAGAGGGTTAAAGTAAGTATGTTAACATTTTTATAGTTACATTCAAAATATAAGTAAGCTACTTTATCATCAACCTATTTCAATAAGCTTGTATCAAAACATAGTTTATGTCATTTTTTATATTATCTAAATTTTAATTTCTTAACTGAAAAAAGAAATATTTAAATAAATTCTCAAACTTCACTTCTCTTTGTCATGTGTCACATTTGTGCTGTGAATTACCCATCTTACAGTTTTCTTTCTACCCTTATATGGGTTTCAGAATGTCCAAATAATTTGAGACACATACTACACATATTGATAAGCCAGAATATAAAATCTGAATGACCAATCTCTTTGATTTACTGAAATATCACTAAATTTGACACCCACATTACACCCCTCTCCTGTCTCTCTGCAAGACATATCTATAATTCTCTCTCAAATTGTTATTGAACGTATCTATAACTAACAGAAAAATCAAAATTAATTATAGTTTGTTTATATTTTAATGGGAGAGATGGCAGCATATGGATAAATATTGTTATGTGCTGAACAAATTCAATGCTCTGAGCAGCTAACAGAATTGTTTAACCTATTTATAGTTTATCCAGAGCACCAGTTAAATCATAGTAGTTTTGGAAAATTCTATTCTAGTGAAAGCAGCAAATTATTTTGTGGATATCCAAAAGCGTGAAAAAAGTAACCTTTTTGAAATACATTCTCAATTACATTTAGACCTATAGCTAAGGTATTTGGTAAAATTTCTTGTTTTTTTATGTATATTTTTTATCTATTGTTACATGTACATTTTTTTTTAAAAGTAACAAATGTAGAAATTTAAAACTTGGTCAGTTAGATTAGAAAACTTAAATGGAAAAATTTATCATAATCACTCCTAAGTGAATGAACACAACATAACCAGTTTGACATTGCATGATGTAACCTGATACTTTGTTTACCACCAGCTCTCAACTCCTGTTCAGGGTGATATATTGGTTGTCATGGTACTGATAATTACAGTAATAAAGCAATAAAACTAAAATAGAGCAGATGTCACAAGATTAGAAAGGTCAAGTTATTCTTATAAGTTGTGGTGAGTGCTGTAAGCCAGTTGCCTTCCCTATAGTCAGCAGTTCAAGACTAAGAAAAGAAAAGCTGCAGGCAAGTACTGTCACTTAGAGCAGGGTAATTTAATTGATTAACCTATTTTGATGATTACTTATGAGCAGTGACTACATCAATTAATGTCATGTAAACTAATCTAATAAATTAATCCAAATTACTATTAAACCTACTGATCAAAATTAGTTTCCAATTATTGCTGTTTTTGAGTAGTCCAACAACTGATTAATCAAAATTATGATTAAATAAATTGTGACAATAATAGTCAACTAATCAAAATCAGCATTATTACTATTATTGATTATTCCAGCTAACCAAAGAATCATAATATTGCTATTAGTGTTTTAGTGTCTTTTAATAATAATGGATATAGTGATTACAAGTCACACAAAGCATTTATTCTTTCTATCAACTTTAAACACTTGAATCAGATCAAATCTAGTTCTTCCATGCTCTAAGAAAAACAAGCTTGATCTTTGAGTCTCTCTTCATAGTTTAAATATTTCAAACCACGAAGCACTTTAGTAACTCATCCATGAGAAGCTTCACCAAAGTTCTGTTATAAAAGTATTTTAACCACACTACTTCTGAATGCAAAATATCTTGCTTGTGCTGTTCATTCACTTCCAAACGTTTAGATGAAGGCTTAAGTAGTTAAGGTTGTTTATCAGCCATCATGAAAGCCCACAAAAAGAAATAGTATTTTCAAACTTCCATACTCTAAATGTATCATTTTATATTTTTGCACAGATTAAGCAAAACTGTCCAAGACCTTCTGCAAGATTGTCAAATACCTATGTATAAATGATCACCAATTGGAGAGTTGATAATACATGGTTGAAATTGAAGGAACTGCTACAAATCAGTAGGAGCTACAAGCTGGTAATACTATTCACCTTATTCTACCCAAATCCTCTTCATTTTCATAGAAATCTAGACTAATATATCATTTTGAATGTCAAATATGAGATATGAATGCAAATGAAAGTGTAGAAAATTTTAATATGCATTTTTTAAGTTAATGTTTACATATATTTTCTTAGGAGATATTAATTCATATATAACACACGTGTACATAAGCCTTCCCAGCTTTGGGGATATTCACACTCACAGGCAATAGGAACCATAGCATAAAAGAAACGTGAGTTATAGATAATGAAAAATAACTTTTTACATTTTCACTTGCTTTCAGGTTCCTTAATCTACATTCTTGAGGGCGGATATCCAGGAAATTTGCCCTCCTACAATGCAATGTCTTCATACCAACAGAGGCAAAGAGGTAAACATATAGCACAATGAAGGGAAAATCCCATTCATTCTGTACACTTGCCCACTGTCTAGACTCATAATCGTAGTGACTACTTGTGTAGAACTTTTGTTGTTCCAAACCTGTAGATATGGTGAAAAGTTGTTGTGTATTCAGTTATACCAATAACAAGTCAAAAAGACCTGAACTTTCCTTCTATTTGATAACCAGTCAAGCTACTGAAAATAATAGAGGCTGAGGTCAGCCTGGTCCACTGTTGAGAAGAAAAATCAATGACAAAATACTCCAACAAATGGGCCTTAACAGAGCCAGGCAGGGATCTATAAATCCAAATACCAAAATTTGAATGAATGAACAAAAGAAGTGTTGAGGTTGAAAGCTATCAACTGCGAAACAAAGGAAGCAAGAGGAAATCTGTGGGAGCCAAAGTCTGACTATAACTCTGTGTGTTAAGCTCATTTTATAACATGTAAATGTTATCTTCTAATTTTTTTTAACACAAGTTAATTGTACATGTCTGGACACTGCACACTGGGCTATTCTGTTGGTAGAGTGCTGGTAGGGATAAGAATCAAGCCCAATTAATTGCAACTTTACTCGATATCTCACTAATACCTCAGCCAACAAGTTCTCCATGTATTGATAAGACATTGCAATTGATAATTTGACTTTCAAACAATAATATATATGAACGATAATTTAAGAATTTGCACAGCAGCTTCAGCAGTAACACATGTATATGTAGATCTATATAAATTGTATACACGCTTTACTATTTTTTGCCCTTTCGTCAAGATGGTGATCTCGTTACCGGACAAAGTTATACAACTGTGACATCATGTTGACCTCAAGAATCTAAAATTATATATATATATATATATATATATATTCAGTCTACAACTGTATGATCTGTGCTACTAGTTTAAAGTTCAACCTGGTTAATACTATATATGAACGATAATTTAAGAATTTGCACAGCAGCTTCAGCAGTAACACATGTATATGTAGATCTATATAAATTGTATACACGCTTTACTATTTTTTGCCCTTTCGTCAAGATGGTGATCTCGTTACCGGACAAAATTACATAACTGTGACATCATGCTGACCCCAAGAATCTAAAATTATATATATATATATATTCAGTCTACAACTGTATGATCTGTGCTACTAGTTTAAAGTTCAACCTGGTTAATACTGGATTGAGTGTATAGGTCATGACTCCAGCTATAAAAGTATAAAATCTCATACTATTAATATTATGGAAGTCCTAACAGAAATTAAAGCTGGGCTGATCCCACTCACACCTTCATTAGATAATTGTACACGTAGATATTTATAAATGTGTTATCATTGAAACTGGAGGAATCACTGTAGAACTTAGAAGTAGTAATACAAATAGAATTAGTAGTGAAGGTCACGATGCATCAGTTAGAGATGGGCTAAGTTTTTGCAAATTAGTTATAACTAATTAAGCCCAAAGAGATCTGAATAACAAGCCATAACATTACTCACATTATAAATTTTATGTAACTTATAACAACTGACAGTGACACTGATAACAATAAAACTGGTCGTTATGTTTTCGTAAAATATAGTTATGCCTAGGCCTATCGACTTACCGCTCTCGTTTGTTTGCGTAAAACATAGCAAATAAAATTCCAAATTTTTGATGCCAACAGTAAAAAAGCACGGAGGCCCATCTGCATTTGCTTCAACATTGGTCCAGATTTTCTGTCAACTCTTGACTTAGAAATGGAGAAGACAACTTACATTTTCAAGTTCCTCAAAAATTTCTACTTTTCAAAACCTGGATGACCGCCATGAACTTATGTCCTTACAGAGTTCGCTTTATAATCTAATCACGTTTATTATATTGTAGTGCCCTCTATTTTGTAGATTTAGTATACATAAATATATTATGTTCTAAAGCTGTCAAGTGTGTGTTTATTGCAGTAGGATAATGTTAAAACAGAGTTATATTCTCTTTGTGAATTTGATAATGGCTACCATTAGTTAGTTTTTAAAGTTTAATTCAGTGGATGAAACGCCCAGATGGACCAAAAGGTCTCTTCTTGTCATTAAATTTTACGTTATGTTATGGTTTATAAGCATCTTATACTTGTCCTTAAATTTTCGTGTTATGATGTATAAGTATATTATCGTATCGTTATCCTTTTGAATATTAACTCAAAATAACTGCGATAGCTAACACACTGATTGATTATATTATTTTTTGAAAACTCACTATCTTCAAATAACTTTACACTCTTTTAACTGTATACTCTTGATGCTTCGAATATAGCCCCTGGAATCCGTGGTGGGCAGAGCACAGATAGCCCATTGTGTAGCTTTGTGCTTAATTACAAACAAACAAGCTTCGAATATACTAGAAAACTGTTCGCTTTTAGAATTTTCTTATTGCCCCCCCCCCCCAGTAGCACAGCGGTATGTCTGCGGACTTACAACGCGAGAATCAGGGTTTCGATATGCGTGGTGGTCAGAGCACAGATAACCAATGGTGTAGCTTTGTGCTTAATTACAAACAGACAAGCCTCGAATATACTAGAAAACTGTTCGCTCTTAGAATTTTCTAGGTGTTCTAGGCTTTCTTATTAAACCTTTTGATCTTAGCGTCATCATTAAGACCTGCAGATTCCTCTAGCTAGCTTCTAAAATACAACATTAAAAATATAGCTTATAACAATATTACAAGAGCTTTGACATGATACTGTTACGAGAGCGGAAGTCACGCAACGCTGGGAGCATGCGCGCTGGAGTTTCTCGAAGGATCATGAATTTTCCTGGCAACTTTGTCATAGATTCTGCATCTCAGCAAACCCTTGTGAGTATCAAGGTGCTAGATCACAAAGAAGTACCAGAAGCCATACAGAAGCTCTGTGGTGTGACAAGACATTATACAAGGCTGTGGGGACCGGTGTGGGTAACTATTGAGCTCATGGGCATAAAGGACAGACACAAAGTATACTTGGCTAACATTGAAGACCCATGCATATTAGGGTTGAACTACTTACTACCGAGGAATTGTGTAGTTAACTTTGATAAAATGACGTTTGGGAACAACAAAGACCAAATTTCGGTAAGTGTTAATAGAGAGGTTGGACTAACCCGGTGCCATCAAGCTGAAGTCAAAGTGACTGAACGAGTTGGTGATGGTAAAGTGGAACCAAGTACAGATATTAAAGCAGAGCAGGAGAAAGACCAAGATTTGAAACCAATAATTGATTTTCTACAAGCAAGTGTTTTGTGCCCTGCTTGGAAGAAGGTGTCTAGCTTAAGCCCTGTGACAAAGAAGACATTGAGTCACCTACGACAGAGATTTTACTGGATAGGTATGAGGCAAGATGTAGAAGAATGGTGCAGGACCTGCAGTACATGTTGTGCTAAAAGGGGATCCAAGCATAAGGGACGTGCTCCAATGAAGTTATATCAAGTTGGCGCACCAATGGAAAGAGTAGCCATTGACATTGCTAGTCCATTGCCCCGATCTCGTGCTGGAAACAAGTACATTTGTGTGGTGATGGATTAATTCACCAAGTGGCCTGAGGCATATGCAATACCAAATCAGGATGCTACAACTGTAGCTTCGGCTATTAGTGATTTCTTCTTCAGGTTTGGTATGCCATACGAACTGCATCCAGATCAAGGTCGTAACTTTGAATCAGCTGTGTTCCATGAATGCTGCAAGTTGTTTGGCATACGAAAGGCCGAGACAATGCCACTTCACCCACGGTCTGATGGGATGGTAGAAAAGTACAATTGGACACTAGGACAGGAATTGGCAAAGTTTTGTAATAGCCACCAAGAT